TTTACGTCTATTTTTGCCGCATCACCTCTTGCCTGCCAATATCTTATATTAAGCTTATATGATATGTGTAGACAAGTTTCAAAAAATCGTGTTTGGCGTGAAGAACAAAGACCTAATCCATAAGCATTCATTTTGGGTTTTTTCTTTAAGCACTTGTCTAAATCGTTCATCTCCTTTGGGTGAGCATTACATATATAACAGTTTGAAATAGCACGATTTTTTATTACGGCATTAACTGTTTTACCGTCAACCATAGTTTTCATCAGAAGATGCTTTACAGATTTATTTTTGTTACCAATGGAAAAAGTTATATGTTTTAGTTCGTTTATTTGCAGCTCCCTTCGAACAAATTCTTCTAAAATTTTTTTAACACTGTTTTTGTTATTTTATGGCCTTATAACAATTATATTCAACAATTTTTATTTAGCTTGAGACCGTTTTTAATGAGAAACTTATTGTGGAAAAGCAACAATAACTTAAAAAATGGTAGAAGTGATAGCTATTTCGGAAATCACCACATTTCCTCATCAGACTTCTTTCAGTAGGATTCGAACGGACGATCCCACTGACTCAGCCAGTTGCCTACGCACTGTGCTAAGTTCGCCTTGTAAATTATCGATGCTTTTTTCCCACTTCTTCATTTGTTACGCCAACACAATCAAGCGCAGCTATCCCGCTGCAATTTACATTTGATCATGTGGTTGTTGGTTTTTTGTTGATAATTCTATTTTTTGAATGTTTAACTTTTAGGCGTGCTCGCTCTTAAGTTATTTGTTTTTGTTTTTTTATGGCCTTATAACAATTATATTCAACAATTTTTATTGAGCTTGACGCCGTTTTTAATGAAAAACTTATTGTGGAAAAGCAACAATAATTTGAAAAATGGTAGAAGTGATAGCTATTTCGGAAATCACCATAAAATAACAAACGCAAATAACTTAAGGACGAGCACACCTAAAAGTTAAACATTCTTAAAATAGAATTATTTACAAAAAAAAACCAACAAAACGAACAACCACATGATTAAGTGTAAATTGCAGCGGAATAGCTGCGCTTGATTGTGTTGGCTTAACAAATGAAAAAGTGGGAAAAAGCAACGATAATTTACAAGGCGAACTTAGCACAGTGCGTAGGCAACTGGCTGAGTCAGTGGGATCGTAGGTTCGAGTCATGAACCAATTAGAACAGATCTGACCGGTTGAGAAGCAGCCATTTCTAATAGCAATTGAGAAAAAAGTGTGTGACGTTCGTAATTTTGAAGTTTGCTATTTCTGTTTTGCTTCTTTCTTTATGTGTATTTTGTCGATGGTTTATTTCAGTGATTTTTTGTGCAAATGTAATTAAAATGAAGTGCGCGGTGATTGAATGCAAAAACACGTACATAAATAATAAATTGGATAGCACAAACATTTGCACAACATTGCTTGCATTTTTTCTCTATGCTTCCTTTTCATATTCTTTGTTTACTTTTCACAGAAAACAACATGGCGCCGAAATTACAAACGTCAGCCAGAAAATTACTTTTTTCTTTTGCTCCATCTTGTCAGATCTTGTGTAGTTGGATCATGGGTTCGAGTCCTACTGAATGAAGTCTGATGAGGAAATGTGGTGATTTCCGAAATTTCTATCACTTCTACCATTTTTTCAAATTATTGTTGCTTTTCCACAATTAGTTTTTCATTAAAAACGGCCTCGAGCTCAATAAAAATTTTTGAATATAATTGCTATAAGGCCATAAAATAACAAAAACAAATAACTTAAGTCAAAAGTTAAACATTCTAAAAATAGAATTATTAACAAAAACCAACAAACCCAAAAACCACATGATCAAGTGTAAATCGTAGCGGAATAGCTGCGCTTGATTGTGTTGGCTTAGCAAAAATGAAAAAGTGGGAAAAAGCAACGATAATTTACAAGGCGAACTGTAATGTCTGAGTGAATCTCTTGCACTCAAACTTACTAAATGCGCTCATTCGCTCACTGCAGCTTATATGTATGTATGCACATTCTATAAATATTACGGTTAGCCTAAGTATACATAACTGGAGTCTTGGCAATAATATGGGAGTCGCATAGCAACATCAACAAGCGAACATTGTACTCTAATTATATATATTTAATAAAGTTGTCGCTGAATACTAAATTGGCGCAGTCGGTAGGATACCGTAACATTCATTAGTATATAGCAACCGGTAGCCAAAACAAGATCGCTTAACATTATTTTTGTTCTTGCGCAACCTAAAACGTGAATATTGCGAAAAGTCAAAGCTAAAGGGCAAGCCAAGGTCACCTTCAGCCATCATACGTTTTACTTCATCACACATCGATGCCAGAAGATCAAGCAACGGCCCCAAAAAACAAGTTAAACCAACAGCGCAATTAACACCGCAGCACCTTCAGTTTGAGGAAAACGTTTCTCGCCACATAATGTCGACACTTGGGAATCTGGAACCGTTCAACGTGGAACACTGAGAAAATTGGTCTACGTATTATGCGAGGTTCGAGCTCTACTTACTAGCCAATGGCGTACAGGGCAACGATCGCCAAAGGGCCGTATTTCTCACCTTATCCGGAGCGCCATTATATGATCTCCTGTCGTCATTGGCCTCGCCCCGTCAGGTGAGTCAACTAAGCATAAATGAAATCAAAATGATTTTAACAAATCATTTTTCTCCCCGGCCCTCGGAAATCGCGGCTTATTACAAATTCCCCAAACGGGACCAACAATCTAATGAGGGATTTTCCGAGTACGTCGCAGCCTTGCACCAATTGGCTGTTGATTGCAACTTTGGCACGGCGTTGGATCGCATGCTAAGAGATCGCTTGGTATGTGGTTTACGTGATGAGGCATTGCAGCGCAATTGCAGAACAATTTGCTCCTCGTGTGGCACAAAGGGTCACCTTCAACGTGTTTGTCGCTCATCAGCATCTAACTCAGCCAATCAACAAAAGGCATCGCATTCTTCAGGACGGTTAAAAAAGCAGAAACCACAATCCATAAATCAAATTTTGCCTATGGTTCATTTGAAAAAGTCAGCGAACATCAGTATTAATGGCTATACTTGCACATTCGAAATCGATTCGGGTTCAAACTATACAATAATGTCATCAACAACATTTCAACATGTATGGCCAGTACAATCATGCACACCAATGACCTTGAACTTGTCAATTTTCAACGTAATAAAATTTCTATAATGGGTGTGGTTGATACAGATGTATCATACAGCGGCCGTGAGGTCAGCTGTTTGCCCGTCGTTGTCGTAGACGGAAACCGTTCAAACGTATTAGGGTGCAATTGGTTCGCCCCACTGGGCATCACAATTCAGGGCGTCAATGCAGTTGAAGAAGCATCGTCAATCAAAGGTATCCTTAACCAATTTAATCATCTTTTCGCAGAGTTGCTGGGGTGTTTCAAAGTGAAGCCAGTTTCCCTCTACATTGACAAGTCCGTTCAACCTATTCATATCCACCTCGGCGTATTCCATTAGCCACCAAAGGCCTTGTCGTAGCTGAACTAGACCGCCTATGTTCACAAGGGATCCTAGAGCCAGTTGAGTACTCGGACTGGGCCACACCGGTTGTGCCGGTTTCTAAGAGGGACAATCCGAATTTGCGGCGACTATAACTCGACGCTTAACAAAGCACTAAAGCCGCACAGCTCCCAGATACCAGCTATAAACACTTTACTTTCGCCTATAGAGGGAGGCAGCATTTTTTCCAAAATATATCTTGCACAAGCCTATCAGCAAATGCAAGTGGACGAACAGTTATCCAAACTAACGTCACTCACAAAGGCGCCTTCAGAGTCACCAGGCTCCAATTTGGAATCTCTTCAGCGGCAGGGATATTTCAAAATTCAGTTTGAGGAAAGCGGCAGGGATATTTCAAAATTTTATAGAAACACTTTTAAGAAATATTCCGGGGGTGCTGCCGTATTTTGACAACATCGTTCTAATGGGCAAAACAGAGGCGGAGCTCGCTGCTCGGCTGCATGAGGTATTTAGCCAATTCAACACCGCTGGTCTTCGACTAAGAAAGGATAAGTGTTCCTTCGGAGTCTCAAGCATCGAGTTCTTGGGATTCAAGCTGGACTCACTTGGCATTCGGCCATCTCAGAATACAATTGAGGAGCCCTTACATCGCCTACTGGATAAGAACTCCCATTGGTTCTGCAAAAAGGAACAACAACAGGCGTTCGAAAATTTTAAGTAGCTCATAGTATCCGAGCGCGTTCTGGTACACTATAGCTCAAAATTGCTGTTGGTGGTAGTTTGTGATGCGTCGCCATATGGCATCGGCGCTGTTCTCAGCCACCGCATGCCTGAGGGGTGTGAGAGGCCCATTGCATTTTACTCTAGGACCCTACCGAATCCAGAGCGGAATTACGCCCAAATAGACCGCTAAGCTGTAGCGTTAATCGCTGGAGTGAAAAAATTTCACGACTACCTTTATGAGCGCAAGTTTACTCTGGTTACCGATCATCGGCCCCTATTGGGTATCTTCAATACGACCAAGCCCGTTCCTAATGTGATACTCTACTACGCAAATGCTTCGACGTCGAATTTTCGTTAATGCGTACGATTTTGAAATTGCATACCGTTCGGGAAATAAGTTGGTGAACGCTGACTTTTTGAGTCGACTGGACTTAATGGATGAGCAACGAATGATTAAGGAAGATGTACTGATGATAGAAATGGTCAACAAGCCCGTAGTAGACGCCAAACATATCGCTGTTCAAACTGCCAAAAATGCGGAACTGGCAAAAGTTCTAAGCTGGGCGTTAAGGGGGTGGCCACCTAACATGAGCCGATCGGACAAGCTGTATCCCTTTTATGTTCGCCGACAAGAAATCTTCTGTAAAAGCTTGCTTACTATGGGGGAACAGAACAATCATCCCGCCAGAAATTCGACAGGTAGTCCTCAGTGCGTTACATACTGGCCATCCAGGCATTGTGCGAATGAAGGCCTTAGCGAGAAGCTATGTCTGGTGGCCGAAAATGGAATCGAAGATTGAGGATATTGTAAACATGTGTGCGCCTTGCCAAGCTACACGTCACGAGAGTGCTCATGCGCCAGTTCATTGGTGGGAAACAACGAAAAATCCATGGTCACGCCTCCATGTTGATTTTGCTGGCCCGTTTCAAGGTAAGATTTTCTTCATCGTTGTAGATTCGTTCTCGAAGTGGCTTGAAGTTTTCTTGGTCAAGTCAACCTCATCGCAATCGGCTATCAAACCCCTTCGATCACTCTTCGCAACTCATGAGCTGCCGGATGAGAGAGTGTCAGACAACGGGACAGCATTTACATCCGATGAATTAAAAACATTTATGCAGGACAACCTAAATCGTCACATTCGCTGTGCCCCATTTCACCCGTCGTCCAAAGGTCAAGCAGAACGAATGGCGCAGACAACGAAGGACTTCTTGAAGAAAACACCGGAGTGGCAGGACATCGACTTAAGGCTGTCACGGTTTCTTTTCAATCGGCATATTACGCCGCACACATCTACTGGTCGTTCACCTGCAGAGCTTATGTTTAAGATACAACTAAAGACATTTTTCGATAAAATTCATTCGTACGAACTTCCTACGGCAAAGCACGAAATTGGCAGGGAGAAGTCCTTCAACGATGGAGACCCAGTGTGGGTGCGAAACTACTCCACAGGACCTAAATGGGTACCAGCGAAAATTAATTCAAGGAATGGACCCATATCATATGCAGTTGAGCTGGACGACGATGAGCGTATCATAAAACGGCATCTAGATCAGATAAGAATTCGACATGTAGCTGAAGGGGTGATGACTTAGCTCTCCTTAACCAAAACTCTAAAGAGCCATAAACCTCATCGGAATGGGGGTCTGCAGCGACAGATGAGAGCAGTCCATCTTCTCGACTTCAAAAACAGTCCAATTCAGAGGGTTCTTCGCAGCATCGGTCGTTCCCCTCCACCGCAGCAGATAGTTCGACACCACTGGATGCAAGCATCTCATCAGACGGTTGCACTCCACGACGATACTATCGTGCTCGACGTCCACCAGATTTTTACAGCGTTCCTGGGCGTGAAGGGGTGTAATGTCTAAGAGAATCTCTTGCACTCAAACTTACTAAATGCGCTCACTCTCTCACTGCAGCTTATATGTATGTATGCACATACTATAAATATTACGGTTAGCCTAAGTATACATAACTTGAGTCTTGGCAATTATACAGGAGTCGCGTAGCGAACATCAACAAGCGAATATTGTACTCTAATTCTTCTTCTTCTTCTTTATTGGCGCTGTAACCGCCTAAGCGATTTTGGCCGAGTCCAAAACAGCACGCCAGTCATTTCTGTGATAACTGACGCCAATTGGAAATGCCAAGTGAATCCCCGTCCTTCTCCACCTGGTCTTTCCAACGCAGAGGAGGCCTTCCTCTTCCTATGTTACCAGCATCGCAGCCCGCGTTGAATATTTTCAGAGCAGGAGCGTTTCTGTCCATTCGAACGACATGGCCAAGCCAGCGGAGTCGCTGAATTTTAATTCGCTGCACTATGTCTATATCGTTGTAAAGCTCATACAGCTCATCGTTAAATCGTCTGCGATATTCGCCATCACCAACGCGTAAAGGTCCGTAAATCTTTCGCAGAATCTTTCTCTCGAAAACTCCAAGAGCCGCCTCATCAGATGCTTTCATTGTCCATGCCTCCGCGCCATACACCAGCACAGGCATGATGAATGACTTATAAAGTGTGATCTTTGTACGACGAGAGAGGACTTCGCTTCTCAATTGCCTACTCAGCCCAAAGTAGCACTTGTTGGCAAGAGTGATTCTCCATTGGATTTCAAGGCTGACATTATTATTGGTGTTAATGCTGGTTCCCAAATAAACGAAGTCGTCTACTTTTTCAAACTTGTAACTGTCAACAGTGACGTGGGTGCCAAGACGCTATGCTCTGACTGTTTGTGTGATGACAGGAGATACTTCGTTTTTTCCTCGTTCTCCACCAGACCCATTCGCTTTGCTTCTCTATCCAATCCCGAGAAGGCAGAACAGACGTAGCCCTTGGTTTTACCGATAATATCGATGTAGTCGGCATACGCCAGCAATTGTACGCTCTTGTAAAGTATTGTGCCTGAGCGGTTCAGTTCTGCGGCTCTTATTATCTTCTGCAACATCAGATTAAAGAAATCACACGAAAGGGAATCCCCTTGTCTGAAACATCGTTTGGTGTCAAACGGCTCGGAGAGGTCCTTCCCTATTCTGACGGAGCTGGTGGTATTGCTCAACGTCATTTTACACAGCCGTATTAGTTTCGCGGGGACACCAAATTCAGACATCATGGCATAAAGGAAACTTCTCATCGTGCTGTCGAAAGCGGCTTTGAAATCGACAAATAGATGGTGTGTGTCGATCCTATTCTCGCGGGTCTTTTCCAAGATTTGGCGTATTGTAAATACCTGGTCAATGGTGGATTTTCCAGGCCTAAAGCCACACTGATAAGGTCCAATCAGTTCGTTGACGGTGGGCTTCAGTTTTTCGCACAATACACTCGATAAGACCTTATAACCTTTGCATAGAAAGCTGATTCCGCGGTAGTTGTCGCATATGGCGGGGTCGCTTTTGCATGCGTTCATCTGACCATATTATATATACGAGCTGATGCATGCACCTCATCAGCTCCTCGCTGCCGTACTTGAATACCTCGGCTGGCAGGCCGTCAGCTCCAGCAGCTTTGTTGTTTTTCAGCCGCGTAATCGCTATTCGTAACTCGTCATAGTCATGCGGTGGGACAGCTACTCCATCATCATGGACTGGGAACTCGGGGTCGTCTTCTTCACTACTTTCAGCGCTGCTGCCATTCAGTAGGTTGTAAAGGTGTTCCCTCAACAATTTAAGTATATTCTGGACATCGGTCACTAGGTCGCCATTGTTGTTCTTACAGGAGTTCGATCCGGTCTTGAAACCTTCCGTAAGTCGCCTAATCCTCTGGTAGAATTTTCGGGCGTTCTTCCTGTCGGCCAGCATCTCAAGCTCTTCGCACTCACGTATTTCGGCCTCTCTCTTCTTTTTGCCGCAAATACGTCTCGCTTTCTTCTTCAGTTCCCTATAACGGTCCCACATGGCCGCAACGTGGCCCTATAGGCGTCCTCTTTTATCTCAGCGGCTTCTAGACATTCCTCATCGTACCAGTGGATCTTTCGGGCTCGCTGAAATCCAACTACTTCTTCGGCGGCGGTACCTAATGATCGGGAAATATGGTTCCACTGCTCGCGTATCTCAGATTGTTGAAGAGTGCTCTCAGAGAGCAGGTGTGTGAGTCGAGTGGCGAGTAAATTGGCCGTCTGTTGTGATTGCAGCTTTTCGACGTTAAGCTTTCCTCGCATTGTTGGACGCACATTTTTTGCTGCACAGAGGCGGGTGCGTATCATGGCTACAACAAGATAGTGGTCCGAGTCGATGTTTGGCCCTCGGAGTATACGTACGTCTAAAATGCTTGAAGCATGCCTTCCGTCTATCACAACATGATCGATTTGGTTTCTCGTTTTTTCGATCTGGAGACAGCCATGTAGCTTGGTGGATGTTCTTATGCTGGAACCTAGTACTACATATTACCATGTTTCGGACCCCAACGAAGTCGATCAGCCTCAGTCCGTTATCGGACGTTTCGTCGTGGAGGCTGAATTTTCCGACAGTAGTGCCAAAGGGCCCTTCCTTGCCCACCTTGGCATTAAAATCGCCAAGCACGATTTTGACATCTCGCAGATGAGCGAGATGTTGAAGAATCTAGCTTTGGTGCGGATTGTGGCTAGACGTTCGTCCACGGGGTGAACGCCAGTACTCGGCGACGGAGTCTCTCCTACCACGAATCCAACACCGAATTTGCGCTCCTTTACGTGGCAACTGTAGTAGACGTCGCAAGGCTTCACGCTTACTTTTCCTTGCCCCGTCCATCGCATTTCTTGGATGGAGGTGATATCAGCCTTTGTCTTCCCGAGGGCATCAACCAGCCGGGCAGAGGCACCTTCCCCATTAAGGGTCCGGATACTCCAGGTGCATACCCTTAAATCATAGTCCTTTATACGTTTGCCATGGTCGTCATCAGGAAAAAGGGGACTCATCCGAGGCTGTTTGTTCTTTTTAATTGGGCGGGGTTTTAACGTGGCGGGACCCAAACCCAGCGCACGCGAAGTTTTACGCCTTCTCACTTTAGCTCGCTCCCGAACGGGTGTTTGGTTGCTACCCAGAGGATACGTGGATATAAATATCCGGACGTTGTGAGCTGCGATTTGAACCGTATGCGAAAGAATCGCTTCTGGCCACTCCCAAGTTTTCCACTTCTGCGCACGGAACCATCCTCTAATTATATATATTTAATAAAGTTGTTGCTGAATACTAAGGGAACTTAGCACAGTGCGTAGGCAACTGGCTGAGTCAGTGGGATCGTCGGTTTGAAACCTACTGAAAGAAGTCTGATGAGGAAATGTGGTGATTTCCGAAATAACTATCACTTCTACCATTTTTTAAGTTAATGTTGCTTTTACACAATAAGTTTTTCATTAAAAACGGCCTCAAGCTCAATAAAAATTGTTGAATATTTTTTTAACACTTTCATTTTCAAAGGCAAAGCGAATCAGACGGCAATATCGAGTGTCCGAAACTCGGTACTTTTTCCACATGGAAATGTTATTATGATCTGTTTGTCTCTTTATTTCCCGTGGTACGATTGACGTCATTAAGATATTTGAGTCTAAGATGTTTGAGACTGAGATGTATTACAGATGAACTTTCAGAAATACAAAGAGATGAATCAGGAGGATAGCATTGTTTTTTTTCCTTTAAAATGCTTTCGTAGCTTGGATATAAATTTATGTTTTTGTTTTTTGCACTTTGTTGAAGAAGTTTTTACTGCTGCTTAGTTAACCCCAAATCGGTAATCAATGCTAAAGTCTCTACCGCAGAATACGGCGTGTATGAACCAAAAGAAAGGTATTTATTGCCTTTTTAATTACACTAGCCTTAACACCCTCTCCTTCGCTATGTAATTTTATTTGAGTCACCAGAGAAAGTTCTTCTGCGGAACGATTCAGCAAATCCGCCACTTTTCTCCTTTTTACCTTTGTTGAACATCCGTCAAAAATTTTTTCAGTCGCCCTACTTGGCCTACTTCTCTAGAAGATCGGAATTCTATTTTTTTCGAGAGCCACAGCGATTCATTTTTTAAAAAAAATCTCTAGCGTACGAGAACTTTTTTTCCATCTCTTTCGAATTTGAGTTACTACGTTTTGTATATGTTTCTCAAATTTATTTTGATCTTCACTTGTCAATTTCAATATTTCTAGTTTTTGTAATATGTTTGATAACAGTTCTTTAGGTGCAGTGGTTGTATGTGCTTTTAACATGTTATTGTCTCGTATGAACAAAAAACATCTTTGCGAGTGACGTAGGTCTCATTTTCTGAGGGAGATGCGGTACATTTAAAAATGAATAAAACACGGTTAGGTAGCTATAGGCAGCCAAATCTCCACTAAATAGACGCAGAATACTTGCACGAAGACAAATATATAGGTAAGAAAGTTAATCCTGTTTAATTGCTTTTCTTTTTCTTTCTGAAAGTTTACATTACTAAAGAATTACCACACAACAAAGAAGCAAATTATACACACGCTACTTACACCGAAACGTAACACATTTACTTTGTAACTTGTTTTTTGCACATAATATAGTTACCACTCAAGTTAAATTCCATTCTAATTTCTCGATTGTCGTTGAAATAAATTTTTTACACGCGACGCGTCTGACGAAAATAACAAGAAAACACGGCAGG